CATGGCATGAGGTGTTGATGGGATCAGGTAACAAGCATCAGAAGACCTGAAACAACAACAACAAAAACGTATTGTTCAGAACAAGGGGGGGTCAGAGCAAAGACCCAAAACCCATCTGTAGACAATAGGACGTCCTCTTACGAAAAAGTCACAAGGAAGGAATGAGTCAACCAGGATGCATTATAGCACCAAGGAAATATACTACAATATTCCTCTGGTTCTTCGAGGCTTCCTCACCCCCCACTATCATGACCCTAGTCCTGCCTTTCAGTTCTGGCTAGACCAGAGCATGTACACTGGTACAGATAAGAGCTTACGACACACAGAATCCTGGTCAGACAACCCTTCAGGAACAGAAATGGGAGTAGTGATACCAGAAGGGTAAAGGGAAGGCGGAGGAAAGGAGGAAGGAGGAACTGATTGCAATGATCAATGCATAATCCCCTCTCCCCCAGGGGGATGAACAACAGAAACATGGGTGAAACAGTGTAAGATTTGAAAACAATAATAATTTATCATTTATCAAGGGGTCTCGAGGATGGGAGGCGGGGAAGGGAGGGGAAAAAGAGGAGCTTATACCAAGGGCCCAAATAAAAAGTAAATGTTTAGAAAATGATGATGGCAACATATGCACAAATATGCTTGATACAAATGATGTATCAAATGTTGTAAGAGCTATAAGAGCCCTCAATAAAATGATTGGGGGGAAAAAAACGCCAGAGGAATATTATGTTTAGTCGGTGCTATACTGTGCCCTAGGTGACTCATCCCTTCCTTGTGACCCTTCTGTGAGGGGATTCCAATTGTCTACAGATGGGCTTTGGGTCTCCACTCTGACCTGCCTCGTTCACCTCAATTTGATTGTTTTGGTTCTCCTAATGCCTGATACCAGATCCCGTCAACACCTCATGATCACACAGGCTGGTGTGCTTCTTCCAGTGGGCTTTGTTATTTTCCAGATAGATGACCACTTGTTTATCTTCAAGTCAAGCCTTTAAGACCCAGGATGCTATATCTTTTGATAGCTGTGCACCATCAGCTTTTTTCACCACATTTGCTTAAGCACCCATTTTGTCCTCAGCAATTGTGTCAGGAAGGTGAACAACACAGAATGCCAGATTATAACATAAGTGTTCTTATGTTGAGAGAGAGCTTGAGCAGAGACCCAAAGTCCATCCACATCCTCACTGTATTGCCATATAAATATATGTACATAGGTCAATACCTCTATTTTTATGAATTAATATGTTTACATAAGTGCATACCTATGTTCTTACCTCTATCCTTAGCTTTACTTCCTTGATCTCTCCTGTGTTTCCTTTTACCTCCCTCCTGCCGAACATATTCTGAAAAAGGTGTTCATGAAGCTGTACACCACAAAATTAAAATAAACATACATGTTTATCAGTGGGATAAATAAACTATGGAGACAGTTAAGCAAATTTTGAAAATGAGACAGGAAGAACTTCTAGTAATGGTGACAGAATATGATTGTTATAATATCTGGGCCAAACATATATATGTAATATATGTAAATACATATATATTTAAATCTATCTACTAATGCCAGAATATATCCAAAGGTAGGCAGGAGCCAGACAATAGTATATTTTTGAAATCGCTAGAAGAGGTAAGAAATGAAAGTTTGTGGCATTCTAACCCCGGGAAATTACAACTTCTTATGATTATGGTAAGGAACCCTGGTAGCAGTGTGGTTACTTATTGGCCTACCAAGCACAACATTAATGGTTCGAAACCACCAGCTCCTTGGAGAAAGGACAGGGCTTTTTATTCCCTTAAAGAGTTACAGTCTCAGTAACTCACAGGAGCAGTTCCACCCCTGTCCAACAGGGTTGCTATGAGTCAGAATTGACTCAATGGCCGTGAGTTTTTTGATGGCAGAAAATTATCTGCAGAAACCTATAGTAGTATTGCCAGGAAAGAGATTTGGGGGCTTGGAGAACAACTGGAAGTGTGAATGGGATATTCCTGAAGGGAAAGGGCTGTAGGAGAAATGAGAACCAAAACTTGAGTGTAAGTTCTGTCCAAGGCCCAAACTCATAGCTGAGTCATGCATGTGTAAGCATGATCTCAAGAGGACAGGCGAAAAAGGAACCGAAACTAGGGAGGAATCTACTCTTTTTATTTATGAATTTGCTGATATTTTAAACAGTACATTCCATAAGCATAGGTAGCTTGGGCAGCATAAAGCCTTATTGGCCTAAAGTATCATAAGACAAAGTCCAAGATGAGCAGAATAACTAGAAATTGGCAACAGACCCTTGCATATAAGCAGTCTATAGGAGGTGAGTGCACAAAATCTGTGCACACTGTGAAAATCCTTAACCAACCAAATTAGATGCAGAGTAGCCTTTGACCAAAACGCAGAGGACCAGATCGTAAAGGCAGCATCTCGAGGCCATAAAGACAGAGAGAGAGCAGGTGATGCTACTCTGGGGGAAACAGTTTGCAGTTCACTTCCAACTGTAACAACATCTTCAGAAGATGCAATAGAGTCTTCGCTACCAAAGAGTTCAATCTTTTCAATTTAAGAATTCTGGTTTGGATTTTATTTTCTCCCTTTTTATATGAGAGTAGGCCTCTGGTGCAAAGAATGTTTCAGTTTTCACATAAATATGACAGGTATATTTTATGAAATGGATTTAGCTGTCCTTTGAGGTTTTCCACTGTTCTATAATCCGTAGGCAATGGGCTGTCAATGTTTGCTGATTTTCATACTCTGGGCAGAATTTTAGGGTAGAGCTGTTAGAAACTTTCTTTGGTGCATTCAATACTTACCACCCAGAAAGTTCTTTATTGTACATAACTAATGACTTCAACTGATAAACCTCCTGTTACACTCCCTATGTTAATTTGCACTTGATAGAGTGAAACAACTCCGAAGACCACCTGACCAGGAGGCCCAGGTGGTTTGAACACCAAAATACACTTTCCCTAAGAAGCTTGCTCTAATTTCAGGAAATTGTTGATTTGATCACTTCCATTTGTTCTGTTGGGCCCTTTGCGTAATGTGATCATAATGTGTTATCTGTACTGGGTTTTTCGTTTGTTACTGGCATCTATGACATTTATATGATAACTGTAGATATTTCTCATGTGCATTCATCAAGAACTGGTATTTTCACACTATCTCACACTTTCCAAAATAATTTTCTTCAAGTCTATGATATTTCTGTAATATCAAAATCTCAACATCAATGAAAATATTTCAATTATAGGTGATGGGTCAGAAATATTAAGACCATTATCACCCAATTTGGTGTTTTATTTGATTTTTTAATTTATACAATCTGAAAAACTCCTCTGAAATACTGTATCACTCAACTAAATATATTTTCTTTCTTTCATTCTCTTTCTGAACAAACAAAATCAATAGCTCGATCAAGTCATCCGCCAAAGAAGCCTGTCCAGTTTGGAACTGTTCCTCTCCTGTGCCCAGAAACAATTAAGTGCTTTACTAGCTACGGAACCAGTTGACATTGAGTAAAGAAAGAGAACATGGCAAGCTAACCCACACTGGCAATGGATCAATCATTCGACCTCTAATACACATGCTGTGAACTATAAAGATGCTTTTGTTTTCTTTCCAAGCTTGGAGAAGTGATTTCCAGTTCAAGGATAAACCAAAACAATAATTGGAAGGATTATCCAATGATCTAAGTTATGATTTTTGTTTTCTCCTTTACGATTATGGTAATAGGACTGGTGATTGTAGTTGTAGTAGCCGCTAGTATCAGACCAAAAACTATTGAAAAGAACCACACTACTGAAAATTAAGTGAACATTATAGTCTCTAGTGACATCTTATCTTGGGTTTGACAAATAGCAAATGAATTTACTTACTGTACATGACTTTCTAATGACTATTGCTAATATGCTAAAATGTAATAATGCATTTATTTGACTTTTAGAATAGAAATAGCATGGATTTCAACATCACCTATTTATCTTTATTACTTGAATGTAAAACACTGATGATAGTCATTCTGGTGTTACTAAATTGATGTTTGGATCTATGTATTTCTATCAATCTACCTTAAACAAATAATACAATTTTTTTAAATCACTGAAAATTATTACATTAATTCAACCCTGATCTCACATACATGTAAACTAAGGGGACACATATATGATATATTCTTGCTTTGTATTTCTGCCCTTTAAAGGCACTATGAATCAATAAAGTCAATATAATATGAGTAGAACCTTGAACTTGATCTCTAAAAAGAGTGTAACTCAGTCAGTTTTAGGAATTTAGGTTTAGATATAAGAAATTTGAAATTATTTCTCAGTACTTCTTAATGTACTTAATTTATGAGCAGTGTGCTGCAGCCTGAAATCATGAGTATTTTTGACATCAAAACTAAATTATGTTATTAAAATGTATTCAAATGTTTGATCTGTTTTTGGGGTTTTTTTTTGAAATGTTTCAAATTCATGGGCCTCTTTATACTTTTCTGGGATTTTGCAATGTAATAAAAAGAACCCCAAAACATATTTGGCTGTTGCATTTTTTTCTTACTTAATTTTTCTTATTGAGGTATCCATACACATATATGAGTGCTTTTATATATAACCCTGTCAATTAACCAGACCAGTGGAGGGAGCCTAAGATCATTCACTTCTGACATAAATTGTGTGGTGGCTAGCAAATCCCATTCTGTCTGCCAGCTGTGCCCTTGGGAAATCTCATCTTCCTTGTGGTCTTCAATTCAAAGACCTCAGCTACCCACATACCCTTTAACTATCTCTTTCCCCAGCCACTCAGGGTTAATTCAGCAGTTAGCAACCAAAGGTTCAAGATCAGCCAACCCCTTGTCCCCATCCCTGGTCACCCAGAGTCAGCCAGCTTCTCCAGTCCCTGGAACAACACAGAGCTCACAGGAAACATCAGGCATGTGTTCATACCTCTAATATCACAAGAAAGCATACATGAAGAGATGAAGGAAAATGCAGCGATGCGTTCAGGCTGGGTCACAGCGTGAACTTCCATGTTCCAAAGGACTGTGCTGCTCTGCCGAGAGCACATGTTTACTCTGACCAATGGGGACCTCCTGAGCTTCCAGCTCCCAAAGCCTTTGTCGGTCTCACCACATGGCCTTGGATAGATTACATCATACTTCATGAGGCTTAGTCAGCACGGAATCCTTGAAAACTCTCTCTCGGTCTGGTCATACCCCATTGGTTAGCCTCAGTATTGAAATGGCTCAAAAGAACGGAGAACAAAGGTTTTCTGAAAGGTGATCTCACATGCAGCACCCCCTAAATATTGTTAACATCACTTATCAAGCATCTGTAAAGGTTAATTTCTCCACAGAAATTTAATTAAAAATTACCATAGCAGTGTAATTAATCAAAGCAAGTTGGCTGCTTATTTGAAATGCAGTATAATAAGAGAGGTGAGTTTTAACTCATGACTAAGTCAGCAGAGCATTCATTTGATCACCATGGAAAATCACAATTCTCTCCATCAATTTTAGATGATCGGATACTTTTGCAAGTTACTCCTATGATTTGATAAAGTTGAAGCTATGAGGTCACTGTAGCTGAGATCCAGGGATTGAGGGAAAGTTCAAGAGAATGTCACACTTTACAACTCGCGGTTACCTCTACCACCCTTGGGGGGTGGGGTGGGGGTGGGGTGTCCAGCTTTGATGCTAATAGAGGCTTGTTGTTATCTGAAATATGTTTGATACTTGAAGTCCGAGTAATGTATTACACTGGGTTGTTGCGATGCTCCTTTGACCTTTACAGCGCTGTCCTGAAAGATAACCGAGAAGGATAACCTTGGCATACAGTTGTGATTATGTGAGCACATTAATTTTTCCAGGCTGAAATAGCTAATAGTCTGAGTAATATTTAGAGACATATTTCTACATGAAGAAGTGTATTCTGTTTACTTTGGCTATCTAAAGACCAGAGACCATCTCGTGTAATATTCACTAAGAGATTAGATCATCAAGTTATTATGCTGTGATAAAAGTCAAATTTTCTTCTTAGAATATGAACCTCAAATTTCAAATAAACCCCAAACCCCACTGGCATCAATTCTATTCCAATTGATAGCAACCCTAGAGAACAGAGTAGAAGTTCCAGTTTGAGTCTTAGTTTTCATATTTGGGAAGTAGAAATAGTGATTTTTATAAACGGTGTATGAAAATGAAATTAAGCTTGTAAAGTTTATCTCGCATATAATAGCCGCCTGCACTCACTAGGGTGGTACCGGTTCACCATATACCACTTGCTCTGGAAATGCCCCCAAAGTGCAGTGTGAAGGCTCCCAAAGTCCTTATCTATATCATTCTGCTTCACCTCCCTTGACTTACAGCCCCTGATGGTGTGGTGCTTAAAGTTCTTGTCTGTTCTAAACGCGCTAGAGAAATATGTGGTCGTCAGCCTCCATAAAGATCTACAGCCTTGGAAACCCCGTGAGACCGTTCCACTCAGTCCTGTGTATCTCTGTAAATCGCAATGTGGCAGCAGTAGGCTTGGGTTTATTTTTAACCTTGATCACTGATCCAAGTGGACCTCATGTAAAGAAGCATATGAGTCACTTACCTGCCTTATCAGAGGAAGACAGATAGGAATTCCTCCATCTGAGATCAGAATGCCCTGATACCTGACTTTCTTGCATCATGGATCTTTTGAGATGCCCACACTTTCTTCAGGTCGACCAGCGCCACTTACTTTTCCCCTGAAGTGAGACAGAGCCAGTCTTTATTACTGCCAACCAAAAAAATTTGATGCTAATAGAGACTTAGGCCTGCCTAAGTCTTAACCAAGGCAGGCCAACACATAATTCCTGGATCCTCAGCACTCATTAGTTCTATATTTCCTCCACCTCACTAATTCACATTCAGAATGGGAACACGCTTTGATTTAAGGGGTGGTAAAAATATAACTGAACCAAAGCTGCTATTGTCCAACAAACCCAAGTAAATCACAGATACCCAAAACGATGAACAAACAGTGCCCTATTTAGACATTTCCTGTCAGAATCTGCAGCCGACGTTTAAACACAACTTTGCTAAATGCTGATTCATGTTCCAATTCAAAGGAGCCTTCCTCAGTGATTGCTTTGAAATCAAAACCAGAACAAGGTCCCTGTGGTGTGTTGTTCCTCTACACAGTCAGGTCATCTATCATTATAACTTTTTTTGGTCTAACAATCAAACTGAAGGGAATCAGGAAGTGTATGTGCATGCATGCGTGCATGTGTGTGTGTGTGTATAAAGGAATTATTCATTGGGAGGTAGCACCTTGCATAGTAAGTCATGAATATGAAAAACAAAAAAGCCATATGTAAAAACCTGGAAACCATTTAGAACTCTCTAAGAGAAAAAGGCGACTTGGATCAAAGCACCTAGCCTCTAGTCTTCTGTTTACATACCAGTAAACAACTCTCCTGTGTCTCTAAAGGCTCTACTAACAAGAAGCAGAAAGCCAATGTGTTCTGAATCCACAGGCCACTTGTGCAAGTATCACCACCAGCAGTACAGTAAGTGGGTCGCAGCACTGTCATATAAGAACTGGCAGGGAGAACTTACACTCTCTCCTTTCATTTTTCATGCAGTACACCCCCATAATGTGAAGACTTTAACATCCGTCTTTGTACAAATAGAAGGGAACCACCAATGAAGTTATTATTCTTCTCTCGTTCTGCTAATTCCGTTTCCTTTTGTCCCACAGCGTTCCTTCTCAAAAAGGTGATTCCCCGTCCATCAACGTCCCTCAGTCAGTGCATACTGAACTTTCCTATGAAGTCGTGACTTAATTATATTTTCTATTATTTGATTATTATAATTATATAAGAATGTGCGCCCCCGTGGCCTTTGACGAGGGAGCCCTCGTGGGAGGAAAGTTGGACTGCTGAAGAAATCCGGGGTCAAATTCACCGGCTGCTCCACAGGAGACTGATGAGACAGGCTGCTCGCATGAAGACTCACCATTTCAGAAAGCCTCAGGGGCATTTCTCCGCAGTCCTACGGGATTGCTGGAAGTAGGAATCAACTCCAAAGCAGTAGGTTTCATGTTTTGAATCCTCTGGTGAAGACTTAATATATAATTGTGAGTGAATAAAACATAAATCAATCAGATTGCACCAATCATCTGAGCTGCTAACTCTCAGCTAATTGATCTGACTCCTAATTGAAAAGAGTTAGCTAAAATTGATGTTTCTAAAGGAAGTCCTATGGGAAACTTAGCTCTCATAAAACTAACCAGGGTTCTATAATTTATAAACATGGTTTTAAAACTTCTAAAGTGTCCTAACACGAAGTTTCCATTTCCGAATGCTGTTAGAATGACTAAGTCACATTAATAGGTATGCACTATTCAAATGTAGAAAATCTTTTAAGAGAATAAGGAGGAAAGATCATAAGGGCCATTCTACGTGAAATCATTTAGGGGGTGCTGAGAGGTGCCTGGGAACAGCCCCCTTTAGGGAAACTGCAAGGCGAGTCTTACCCCCTGGACCATTCAGTTTTGTTGTAACGCGGAGGGCGGAAGAGAGTCGGAAGAAGAGTTGTGTGGAAAACATTTTGGAACCAAGTGTAGCATCAGTGGGTGGGAGGGCAATTGTTTGAGATGGAATCAAATCGAAGAACATCCAGAATAATACAAGCCGCACAAGCCCCAGGGACAGTGGGCACCCAGGACGATCTGCCAGTCATTTCCAGTCCTCCTCGGACTCCGAAGAAATTGGTCTTATTTTGAGAAACACAGAATTCTAGAAACAAACGAATTCAAAAGGTAGGAAAACTTGACTCAGTCCTGGCAAACATTCAGTTCTCAGAAGTCTGCAGAGCTGATTTTAAAAGAAAAAAATGAAGCCACAGAATGTACAAATTGCTGACTTCAACACAGCTCAGATACTGAGACAGATTATAGAAAATTCCTTGTGGCAAGATATGTATGTAATGAATTTGGACTTGCTGCCCCTTTTCTGTAGGTACACTTTCTTCTAAAATGTTAGCGACCACAGGGCATGTGAACGGGACAACATTTTTTTAAAGCCTTTTTTGGGTAATTTTTTTCTTTTATCTTTCCTTTTGCCTGCTTTCTATAAACTGCCAAAATGTTGAAGGTCTAGAAAAATGTCTAATAGTAAGATATGATAAAATAATAATAAATTATTGGGTTTGGGGGAAGGGGAAGCGGGGAGGGAAGGGGAAAAATGAGCTGACACCAAGGGCTCAAGTGGAAAGCGGGTGTTGTAAGAATGATGAAGTCAACATATGTACTAATGTGCTGGACGCAAATGACGTATGTACAGATTGTGATGAGTTGTACGAGCCCCTAATAAAATGATTATTTAATTTTTTAAAAATTAAGTCAAAGCTAAAAAAAAATGTCTAATAGTGATTCATTAGTAAATTCACAACTATTGTCTCAGTAAACCAGTCTTTAAATTTTATTCTACTTTATAAAGTAGCTTTTAGATCACTACAAATAAGCAACATAGCTTTTCTTCTTACAACCCTTTTTCTTATCACTCA